CATGGTTATGTTGTTTATAAGTTGGAAGTATATTTGTCTGGTGTAAAATCTTATAAATAATCTTATTGGTTTATATAATACTCAATGGTAAATTGAAATTGGTGAGGGCTGTGTTGCTCATGGTTCAAAGTATCGGTTGATTCTTATTCAATTCAGCATTTCGAAACGATACCATTACATGATTGACTCGTTTGGTTGCCGTATTAAAAATGAATGGATTGGATAAAGTTATCAAGTATAATACAATATCGATAGACAACAGACAAGATTAAATATGGTATTAGAATAATATGTAGTTTTATTTAGTGTTTGACAATATATAATATAAGAGTTAGATAATAAATATTTAATTCAATTGGTTGTTTAGTTAGAAAATTATTTCATCATATTAATATTAAATTAACAAAAATATTCTCAATCAGTCCGTCAAAGTGTTTGTTATGTTAATAACAACCTTTTTTTTTGTTATCATTTGTGGGGTTATAAATGTGTCCGCGATGTTGCAATCGATTTATCTTGGAGGTCTCTAGGTTGATGACTGATGTTGTGGACTTGATCTGTGGTATTGCTAGATTGATAATAATTGTTTGTGAAATATCAATATTGAGATATTAGGAGGAATCATCTGATAGGAGAGAGGCTTTGGACCAACTTTCTGATCAAAGAATAAATAAAAGGTTTCTAAGAGAAACTTAGCATAGTAGACCGCATAGCGCAGTGGATTAGCGCGTCTGACTTCGGATCAGAAGGTCGTGGGTTCGACTCCCACTGTGGTCGGATCACACCTTGCTGCTACTACTCTTTTTCAAAGAAAAGAGAATAATAGACCATTCATGGTATGCAACACCTTAATTTTCAGGGGTATAATTAGGAAGCGAATTTGTGTCCGGTTTTATTTGTTTTTTGTAAAAATATATTTCACTCATATTTGATTTATTTATTAATTCGTACTTAATAAATCGTATTATATTGAGTTCGTATCGTATATAATCGATACATAAAATGAATTATGCCGTATATTTTTTTTAATTGATTTCATATATACTTAATTCATTTACTAATAATGTCATGTCGGATTCACTTCTTTACGAAATGAGTGACTTAAAAACCTAATTTTATATTATATTTGTGCTATATTAAATGATCGTGTTATATTTTTAGCGAGACCCCTTCTCCTTTACTCAATAAAGGTGAATAATTTGACAAGAAGAAAAATAAAAGAAAAAATATCGGAAAATATGTGTCCTAAGAGTAATTGTGGTAAGGAAATTGAGGTCCTGATTGGTGAATAAACAATGTTTTGATTTGGTATTTGATTTCCATGTCGAAAATTTGAACTTTTTTTAGATGTTGATGAAATAGAATTATAAAATTTGTTTTAAATTTTAATTAGATGCCCGTTTTAAATATTGTTTCAAATATTTTGTTTAGTCAACACTGGTGCGATATGCTTGTTTTGAATCGCCAGATAGAGATAAAAGAGCAACTACAGTAGCGACAAATTCTTCCTCTCCCCTGTTCTATTAATACCCCCTCAGTTCGAAAGCAATCAATTGAGCAACTAGGAGCCTCCATGCCTTCCCTTAAAGCCTCATTGGCGATTTATTCAAATCAATTTTAATACATTTTTTTATTCTAAATTTTAGATCACTTACTAGATAAGATTATAAAATGTATTAAACCCTAAACTCGATTTGACACTTGAATTGCATGCCTCAATCTAAACTTCTCTTTGGACATCTTCATATACAGACTTCGCTTCAATACTGTTTTTAATTTTTTGGCACCATACCAAAAATGTAAAAACGGTCTATACTTACCACCTATACACCCTAAAACCCATAACCGGTTTCACCGGTATATACTTTATAAACAATAATTGATAACAGAAATTAAAATTAATTTTAAAAAATGATAATTATTTGACTTATTTAAACTTGAATACAGATTTTATAATGTCTATCATACCTTGAAAATTTCATACGGTGATTTCAAGTATTTACTTGACTTCCGTTTAAAATTTCTTCTTAGCACCTTTGCGCTGTATTTTTTTTGCGTGCATAAGTGTGAAGCCTGTTGAAGGTGAGGTGTGTTTACAATGGTATTTGTGTAAAAGTCGAAGAATTTTTATGAAAAGGGCAAAACGGTAATCAGCCGCTATGGCACGGGTTTAACATCCAGATTTTTCTAGAACTCGGATGACAAAATGGGCCTCACAGTTGGATTCGTCTCGTGAAATCTAATTATTCAGTCAATTTTTGTTGAATTTCGAGACAGTTAAAATTTTTGCGTTTTATAATACGATTGAGTGTCGTGTGACCAAAATAAACTCGATTGAGTTTTAAAATTTTGAAATATGAAAAATAATTTAAAGTTAGTTCAGATAAAATATATTGAACTTAAAACAGGACGAGAATTAGTCGATTTGGGACAAAAAAAATTGGATTAGGAAAGAAGGGACGTGTGGCGCGTTGTGAGCCAAGCATCAAAGGGGTATAAAAAAGGGAAAAAAATCAAAATTTTCCCCCAATTTGGCTGCTGAATTTTGATAGAGAGAGAAAGTGATGAAGAGAGAGAAAATCAAGGGTTTCTTCATCTTCTTCTTGCGATCCAGGGTCAACATTTGGTCACATTACTTCGGACTAAGAATTAAAGTTTATTTACTTGACGAGAGTTACGTCTATGTACCAAAATCAAAAATTTTGACGATGTCTCAAGAGCAAGATTTTTGGAAATCAATTTTATTTTTTATTTTTTTTGAAGGGGAAGGGGACTTGAACCCTTGACCTTGGAAAGACAAAGTCTTCACAAGATAAGGAGTACCATTGGACTAAAGGATTTTTGGAAATCAAATGCTAAATCTTGAGTTGTGTTTTTTTGGAGTTCCTACCTTTCGTATTACGCTTTAAGAAGTAGGGTTCTTCTCTTAACTAGGTTTAATTTCAACCTAGGGTTTCATATGAAATGGGTAGCATGAATTTAGATGAAATCTCTTGTCTAAATGTATTTCCAATGTAACTAGAGTATGAGAAATAATATAAGAATGTATATAACTAATTTTTGCATGAATTAGGTTTTGAGTGAAATTGCTCGTTTTGATAATTTCATATGAAATGTGTTAATTGGGCATGTTATGTGTTTACATTTATATTTTGAAAGTGTTTGATAAAATGCTTATGTTGATTTAACATGTTGGTTTTATTAAAAACATTATAACATGCTTGGTGAAAATTATAAAATGTAATTATATGCTCATAATATAATTGTCATTATGAAAATAATGTATGTCAAACTACACTCATGATATGATGAACATGACATTGAAATTGTAATTGTACATTATATTGCATATGCACGGGAAACATCACATTTGTAGGCACGTGGCATGGGTGTGGGTGTGTGCATGGTTTTGAATCAAACACCATTGTTGGTGGATGATGCGTGGGCTCGGAAAAGTTGGACGAAAGTGCGATTAAGTCACACGGGTTGCATTGAAAATAGGGTCGGGGTTAGCAAGAAGGGTTAGATTGTCCCTTAGGTGTAAGACCCGATTGTTTGGATACGCCCTCCGTTGGTATTGAGTTCATAAAATGTGTCGGCGTATGCGGAACCGTTGGTGGAAGTCCATAAATGTCGTGTTAGGTGGGTGCCCGTTGGTGGAATTCCATAAATGCCTACACTAAGAAAGACTCGATATTTATAAATGGACATTGGATGTGTAACATCAATGGCAGGGCTTAGAATGCCTAGCTTCATATGCATGACATTGCATGTGTTATGAGAGCTGGTAAAGGCTTGGGTTGTGTTGCATGTGCGAGTTTCACCTTATACCATGACATGACATTATGATATTTATTCTTGAAATTATATGTTCATGGATGAATGTTTGTTTGATTGTTGAATGACAAGAGAGCATTTCATATACATCTAGGTTAAGGAGTAGTCTCCTTAGGATATACCCTATTGAGCATGACTCACCTTTTATTGGGACAACATTTCAGGTGTGGGATAAATGCCGGTGGATGGCTCTCACTTGGCCCTTATTGATGAAGGAAGCCGGGTTGTGGCTTTAAATTACATTTTTGTAAAACAAGTGTGTAATTAGTTTTTGGACAAATAAGATAAAGATATGTCAAAAGTCCCCTGTATCCACTTTCATTTCATCCAATTGTTATTCAAATTGTACATTGGAATATCTTTCATTCTAGTGAACATGGAATTATAGATTCCCTTTATTCTTTCATAGGGGCAACTCGTCTCCACATCTATCCCCCCATTCTTAACCCCAATATAGATTCTACATCCTTAAGACAAAACTTTAAGGATTTTTTGTGAATATTCAACACATGAGTCAAGGTCAAAGTGTTCAACCACCTAGTCACACAAATCTCTCCTCAATATTTTGCATTTGAGGCTTGACAAATCTCTGAATCAAATCTTTTCAACCCCATATTTTTGTTCATCGTTAAACCGCTCTATTGCTTTCACCATCATTCTAGGTGAACATCTGGTTCTCAACTGGACCATCAAACATTTGTCATTATACAACACAAAAAATAAACACATGTCACACAAATAATTTAGTATTAAGATTTACCTTTACTTTTAGTGTAGATTTCTTTTTGCAAAACTCTTTTTTTTTTTGATGACTTTTGTCATCTCTATATATTTTTCTTT